GAGGGAGGGTATTTACAGCAATAATTAAACACACGATTTAACATAATATACTGCAGTATCGCACGGAACTGGTGATGGTCTTTTAACGATCTTCATAATGTTGATTTGTTACTTAAAGATTGTTTAACAACTGTGAGCATTACGTTTTTTGAAACGCAATATCATGTGTTATATCAATTTTTGTCTATTAAAACGATATTTTGTTACGTTTAAAATGCCAATAAGAAGATAAGTGCCTTTGAAATCAAATCAAGTTACTGTTGTTGCTTTGTTTGAATAGGTAATCTTTTTTTTTATAATGTATTACTCCTGTTGTTATAAAATAAAGGATACATCTTAATACTCTTTTCAGTTTTGCTAATTTATTTTACTTTATCAAATTTTGCAACAAAATATAGGGGGAAACAAAGATACTGACACACTGGATCTGTTGAATCATTATTGCCCTGAAAAAAAAAAAAAAAAAAAAGATGAATGAACTCGGATTTTGCTTTTGCTTTTCAGCTTTATTTCCCTTCAGATAAAATCTATATCAAATGTATTTATAGCATGTATATCAGGTAAAGTTTATAATATTAGCACTTTTATTCTGTTTTTTTTTTTTTTATCATTATTATTCTACGAAACTGTACGTGAAAACTCGACAGTTCGTACATAATATGGACATCACAAACACCAAACCGAACTTAAAAGTTGAAAGGAAAGTTGAATTTAAAAGACATGCAGCTCCTTAAACTGTATTGATCTAAAATAGCTCGCGATACGAATATTAAAAAACAAAATAAATTATTGCCACAGTTGTAGATATGCTTTTTGCTCATATGGTTTTTCTGCTTTTTAGAAAATATATTTCTCGCAAAATGAAATACTCCATAATTTGAAAAAATCTATCACAGCACCTCGGAATCAATAATACCATGTTTAGAATTCAATGAATTTATATTGTATCGGGTCTTTAGCACCAAATGAAATGAAGTAGATTTTAGAAAAAACTTGGGAGCGTTCCCATAAACCCATCGCACAAGCTGGATCGATCTAACTCTGCGGGGATTCTCTCTAATTTGCATTCAGTGAAATAAGATAAATATATATAAATATCTGGCACGCCTAATGAAGCTGCTAGGGGTAATTCACGATAGTCAATTGCCTCTTAGTAGCTCGAGGGGGCGTGCCAGACAAGTAAGCTGATTACACTGAAAGCAATTCATCGAGAACCCCGCAGAGTTAGATCGATCCAGTTAATACGATAGGTTTATGGGAACGCAGTCAAAGTTGCAGTAACAAATTCCTTCTGTCGCAATAGGGTTATGTGCTTCTCTGTCACAGTTAACTCAAAATCTCTTGAAGTATTGGTTTCGTGCGCCAAGTGGGGGTGAGAATGATGACTCTGTACACTCCTATCAGTAGGGCAGGGAAGGTACGCAGAAAGTAGCTGCCGTCCTTGAGAATGTCTTTGCTGGTAGGAGTCCTGGAAAATAAATGTATAATATAATATAAAATAAATAATTAATTAATTAATAATAAGAGTTGAAATGAGGTACGGAGGCTCTGTTGAGGATAACACGCGCGGCAAATTTGTCTCTCAAGTGTTTATATTTCATTGTAACGAGGGTCTGCATTCTTGCGATTCTACTGGAATATGTACAATAAAATCTACTCACAAGTTGTCGGCATGGACCTTGCAGCTGTAGATAAACCGAAGAAGGTCCGCCATGTTGTTTTGGAATACTCCAAAGCTGCGAAGATCAGAAAGTAAGCCGGTATCTATGGCAGAAAGCTGAAATAATACGGACAAACATCAACATTAGTTTTTTATTATATAAAAAGCTTTGCAAATTAATTAATTTGAAGGCCTATTCTAAAACAATAAACTTTGCTTTAGGATTTGATTGAAAGCACAAAGCCACAGTACGGAAAAGAAAATCAAAACTTTCGTTTTTATTCTTTTTAATGTATCAGCCCCTTGACGAACTGTTCATATTAATGAAATAATGTTTGAACCTAGCTTCCCACCACAAAACCTACCCAGTCTTTCTTGATGGCATTGAACGCCACGTTATTAAGACGCTCATTGAGCTGGAGAAAGGTCTGGCTCCTGTGAAAATTGAGAAATATGACATAAAAAAAGGCTAAAAAGAGAGAAAAACGTTGTGTAGTCCGTAAGTGAGCTGAAACATAATTGTAATGTAAATATACTTCATTTTTTCATAATATAGAACATTTCTCTCCCTCCACGCGTGTGCGAACACACGCATGCAAGCACAGGCACGCACACATGTACGCACCGACACACGAACGCAGACACACACACACACGCACACACACACACACACACACCTGTACTGTATCTCTATGTCAATCTCAAGCCCGACAGCCTGTAGAAAATCACTGCGTTTGCTGTCCGGCCAGAAGAATGGATGCCTAAGCGCCTCGGAGATGGTGACTCTCTCCTCAGGATTGGACATCAGGGTGCACCGCACGAGCTCCTGGGCCTCGTGGCCGAGGAAGACCCAGCGTGGCCAGCAGCGGGTGATGTTCAGCTGAATGTCCACGAAATTGGCACCGAATGGATGCAGACCACCTGAGAGAATGTAATGGGTCAGCATGCCCGCCACCTTCAGGTAAGTAGATAAATATGTAGAGATAAATAAATAGAGGAGAAGAATAAGATTATAACTGAGGAGAAATGGTGTGATACAGTGTTTTAAGCATTGAAAACGTCAGGCTGCCATTCTTTGTTAAGTCCAGCGGGGCGCCGCAATCCCCAACGCCAATAGTTAAATTTAAAATTTTCACCACTCTTAAAAATACATTTAACCCCCGTTCAGATTTTAAGAGAAGTTTGAAAAAAGGTACCAATCATATTTGTGGCCTTGAATAATTTTAATTATTAAAATAACTTAAGCCGATTAAGGGGAGACATTTTAAGAAGAGACACAAATACGGCGGGCCGTTAGTTCGCGACCCACCTGGACGTCCGACTTCATAGTGTAGTTGCTATACACAAGCATCCCGTTAATGGCACTTTGGCATTCAGTAGGGTGCCAGGCAGCCTGGGAATCTAAGAGAAAACAGGTACACAGAAATACAGACAAAACCGAGAGCGCAGCTGTCCTGAAGCATTGACTGCGAGCATTGATTGGCTGACTACTTAACCTGAGAACGAAGTCCTATGAACTCAAGTCCTCAATCAGTTGGTATCCAATACAACATGTCCGTTCTACAAAACGTTTGAGTGATGGTTTGTTGAAATATAGACTTACATGGTTGATATTTGAA